AAAAATGTTCTCATTCACCGTGTTTCAACAATAATTCTGAATTATATTATACGAATCGGTTGACATATAACTCTATTTCATGGTCATACGATATGGTCATGCAATATGCAACGTATTATTGACCTGTTATCAGTCTTATTCTACTCCTTCGCCTTAATTCCAATTATTTGGGGTCAGCCACCCTCGTTCTAAACTTCAATTCGACTCGACCTCCAACCTCGCATATACAAGCTGTCATATCATTCTCAATCACATCCAATTACCTATTTTTCAGTCTCTTTCTTCCCTACGTCCTATCTCTTTCCCCTACGTTTATTTGCATTACAATTCTTACTGCTTCAGATTCCTCTCTCCCCGTGACATGCCCAAACCATTTCAGTCTTGCTTCTCTCATTGATTCGTCTACTATCGAAGTCACATCTAAGCTTTTCTATACTCATTCCTTATCTTATCTTCTATTCATCCTTCTAAGCATTCGCATCTCTGCTACACTCAATTGCACGTTTAATTTTCAACATTTTCAACCATACAACATGATAAGTCTCAACATACTTTTGTAGAATTTAACTTTAAGTGTCATTGGAATTCTCTTGGCACATAAAATTTTTCGATAAAATCATAAAAAAAAATAATATAAAATAAAATCATAAAAACATTTGACGCTTTTCTCTACTCTATCCAACCACAATTGATCTTATATTTCACATCATCGTGAAAACTACCGTTATTTTATACAAAATAAAAACGCCCACCTAAAAAACTCCCGACTAAAAAAATGTTATCTATTTCCGATTTGTCTAAAAATATAATCTAGTAAAATTCAGTATTTTTACAATTTTAATATTACTACACTATTTTTTTTCCAATTTCTTTAATCGTTTGTTATTTTATGGAGAATCATGTTAAATCATATACATTTTAGTTTCTGTTCGCTTTTTCGAGCAATACTCTAGTGACTTTACGTGAAGGTGAGAGTGAGACACGCGGCTCGTGTAAGTTTGACAATATATGACATGTAATAATAAGTGAACAAAAAAATAACAAAAAATTGGTTTAGATTTGACAACGTCGCATAATATATTTTATCCTAAATCATGTTGCTAAAAGGTGTTATACGCTCAATCGTGTAATTACTATGTGTTTACTATTTGAAACAATTTTGAATATTTTCATAAATTTTGTATTACTTTTTTTTGCTAAGGACGACGTCGTTAGTAACATAACTATGACCACGACTCACTCACCGTTACCAGTGGGAAGTACACCAATTCACGAACGACCGGTAAGTAAAAACAAAATAAAAAATAATAAAAAGTAATTAAAACGCGTACAGAGTGAATAAAACGGACATGATTTCCGTGTCGACAGATCAACTGGTCTTTAGGTTCGTTTGTAGCCATCGAAATGTCGTTCTTTTGCGGATATCTCATTACTCAAGTGCCCGGCGGTTTTCTGGCCTCTATGTATCCGGCCAACAGGTAAATATTAAAAATGTGTTGCGACAAAATATTTAATTATATTTTATTGAACCATGGTTTCGTTTCCAGAGTGTTCGGGATCGCCATCGCCATGTCTTCGTTCCTCAATCTTTTGGTGCCGTCGGCGACGGAGATTGAAAAGTCCCTGTACGTGATCATTATCAGAATGTGCCAAGGGCTGGTTGAGGTTAGTGCAATAAATGTTTACGTATTGATACATAACATTATATCTGAATATTGGATTTCAAGTAAAAGAGGTGAAATAAAAATTGAAATAAGATGAGTAGTGTGATCAGTTAAAGGACAGGATTAGAAATATATATAGTCAAGAATATAAATAGAAAGTTAAGTGTAGACTTTGGATGGAGCTATGGAAGTCCGGGAAGATGTTTAAGAAGGATGTGAATGGTAAAAACACTAGTTAGTCAACACTTATTGCTATTTTTAAGAACTTTGGTCATTGTGCCATCCGTCTAATTTCCTCCCCACCTCATTGTGCAGTGTCTAACATCTCTAGTTCATTTTTTCCACCACAGGGAGTCACATATCCGGCCTGTCATGGTATCTGGAGACACTGGGCACCGCCGCTGGAGAGGTCACGGCTCGCCACCATAGCTCTGTGCGGGTCATACGCGGGAGTAGTGGTCGGTATGCCACTTTCGGGTACTCTGATCGATTGGTTCAGCTGGGAGGCTCCGTTCTACGCATACGGTAATGAAACTCTGGTATCCCGATCAGATTTAAATTCAGTATATTTATTAATAATTACTTAATATAAATTGTATAAACATGAAACAAATTCATATTTTTTTCTCAACAAATTATTTTAATATTATGCAAATGCCGTGTTGACAAAACCGAGCCGTATAAAATAATTATGAGGCACCATCCATGACTTCTCCTCCATACGCCGTTTCAGCGAACTCTTTATTTGAACGAATGCTCGACGATTTAACTAATATTGATTTTGTACAGGCGTGATGGGACTGATATGGTACGTGTTCTGGTTGTGGCTGTGTTTCGAAAAGCCGAGTCTTCATCCGACTATATCGGCAAGGGAGCTAAACTATATCGAAACGTCATTGGGCGCTGCCAAAAACTCGGCCGCTCCGACAATCGTTAATACGCCTTGGAAAAAGTTTTTCACCTCAATGCCCGTTTACGCCATCATTGTGGCCAACTTCTGTCGATCGTGGAACTTTTACCTCCTCGTACTTTTCCAGGCATCGTACCTTCACTCTTTCAATTTTGAAGTGTCCGCAGTTAGTATATACATATATTATAATAATACTGATATTTCCCAAACGCAACGCATTTCATTCAGTAATAATAATATATTTAACACTATAGTGTTATTATTTTTTTGTTCGGAAGGAAAATCCGAGAGAACCACTAAAATCCATTGGATTTTACATATTTTTAAACAGTTCAGTTTTATGTTTTGTAGACAGGTTATATCGGCGCTTTACCTCATTTGCTGATGACCATAGTGGTGCCCCTCGGAGGTATATTGGCGGATCACATCCGTAAAAACGGCATCCTATCCACGACCAATGTCAGAAAGATTTTCAACTGTGGCGGTTTCGGTATGGAAGCCACTTTCTTCCTGGTGTTGGCTCACGCCCGCACGCCTCTTACTGCCACAATAGCGCTGACGTGTGGCGTGGCGTTCAGCGGTTTTGCTATTTCCGGTAAGTCGGTGTAGACACGAGGTTGCCGGAAAATTAGTACGGTAGTTTTGAACGTGGAATATCGTGGTTCGGTCGTATAAAATAGGATTTTTTAAACAATAAAAAAATAAAAAAAAATCATAAAGTATCTACACTGCATCGTATTTCATCTCGCCTATGAAATCGTATTATTATTATTTCTGGTAATGCTCCAGAAATTTGTCTTAAATCTAATATACAACGGCAATGACGTTGATTAAAAGATATTGTATGGGTTTCATCGACCAAGTGCAACTGCAACGTTCAGCTTATTACCTCGTGCGCACAATTTCGCTGTAATGGAAAGTTTTAAAACTGAAAAAGTGAATGAATTAATGTCGCACAACAAATATTCGTGTGTAATTTTAAGATAAAAAAATAACAACGCTATTCAATGGAAATGTTCACAAAATACAATATTAAAATATCCAGGAAAAATTACAACGAATTTAATTAAACCAATAAGTTTTAAATGAGTTTTAGTTTATACAGAGTATTGTATTATATAAAGCGAAAGCGTTAATTTTATTTCAATATATAAACTATTCAAATATCGAACAACTGAAAATGTTGTATATTGCGAATTTATAATTAATTTAATTTTGAATACGTTTGTTAAACCGCTGACAATAAAATACTTTTTAGTAGCAATATTTTACTTATTTCGTTTCTTTTATTCAAAACGCAATAGACCGTACTTATTTTCTGTTTATCTAGACACGAATGCAAACAATACAAGTATAAAGTTATTGATTTGCATATTGCTTACGTCGACCAATTCTCGAAAGCGATCAGTGAAACGTATGCTAAATTAACCGTTTATTTTAGGGTTCAACGTAAATCATTTGGACATCGCACCGAGATACGCCAGTATACTGATGGGCATTTCGAACGGAATCGGAACCATTGCCGGTCTTCTGTGTCCGATCGCTATCAACATAATAATCAGACACAAGGTAAACGCGAATATTTAAATTTTTTTTTTTTCTTTTGGAATCTGTTTGAAATTTTAAATTATTCGTATAGACAAGGCAAAGTTGGAGTGAAGTTTTTATACTGGCGGCTGTCATACATTACATAGGAGTGGTGTTTTACGGGATATTCGCTTCGGGAGAACTGCAACCGTGGGCCGAACCCAAGGTAGAAGAAGATCAACAAATGGACGAGGTCTGTCTCCTATGAGTATTTCGCTATTAGAAATTCGATAATGGATTCGAAATGTATTTAATAAGTCAAGTGAGGGGAGGGAAAACAATTGTCACGTTTGATTTATTTGGGACGTTGATTTTTATATTATTATTTTTCTGTTTCTGATATTGAACCGTTGTTTCAGGTGAGTAACGAGAAGAAGAGGCTGTCTTCGTACGGTTCGGTGGAACAGTCGGGCAACGGGTTGGTCAACAAAGGTTTCGACGTCAAAAGCACCGTACCCGAACCCGCGCCGCCGACCGAAAACCCGACCAATCCGTTCTTGGCCAAGCCCACGAATCCCACGAATCCGTTCGCGTCCGCCGAATAAAATTCTACGCCGGATGTCAACAACCGAGAGCATAATTATTATATTATTATTACTCGAAATAATTAATACACGATAAGCAATAATTAGTAGGTTAAACGCGTAGGTTTAGTATTTTTCGAAAAATCTTTTCTTTGTTTTTCGTCTCTTAGTCTATATATATTAATAAATATATATATATATATAAATAGGTATTAAGGTTAGGTGTCTGTAATATTAATATTTTCGTCTCAATTATTATTATAATAATATTATATTAGTGTTTAGAATTATATGATACGCAAATCGGACGTTTGTCGAGTAGATATAAACAGCATAATTATGCACATTTTATCAATTTTTCTAATATCATATTTATATTATATTGTCAATTTCCATTTACGTGCGGATTTTTTGTTCAGCTTACCGGCTCGAAATCTGGTCCGCAGTCGGGTAGTTAGATAGGTTAGACAATAGGTATTTTATGTATTTTAGGTAGGAAACACTAACGTGAGCATGGCGTTTTCTTTTTTTTTTTAAATATCTTTTATAAACACCGATTGTCAGAACATAATATTATGGGAATAGATAACCGACAGCATTCGCAATTACAATACATTTTTACCGACTTTCGCATTCGGTTTTGTTATCGTAATATACGGCGTCAAGGGTGCCTGCAAGGGATGCCAATGAGAGAACAACTACTTTCCCTAGATTTTAATCAGTCTGTATTTTTTTTTTTTTTGGATAAAATCATAATCTCTTCTTCTTTTCACTCACAGCTGTTTTTCCAGTCACCTTGCTGTAAATCTAAACCTGACACGGTCTCCCACATCATCTATGCACAATCCTCCCTTTTTCCCACAACTGTAAACACAACCATCTTTTTTTCGTTTTTCTCTTCAATTTTTCATTTTCATATTCGTTTGTAAAAATAATTCAAACAGCCCATCACCTCTTCGGTCTTCTTCTTTCAGTCATCTGTTTACAACTCATTTACAATATTCTATTCTTAAAAGATTTTCTTTCTTCATAATGTAGGACAATTTTTTCGGATTATTATGTCCAACGGGAATTGAGCTCTCTGCATTTTCTCTAGTTACACCCTCTAATCGTGTTACTCCATTTATTACTCTTATACCTCATACAAAATTAATTATAATATTACAACATTACGTTGTCACTTATAGATCATTTCAACTTAGTGCGTACGGGGAAGTAACATCAGGGTTCGCCAAAACGTTAACTTATTCGGTTTTTCCGATAATACCTAATCAGTCCGATAACATTGTAAATAATTTTTACGATTAAATTAATATCGTATTATCGGTTGTATAATAATCGCAATGATGCTAAGAATTAAAGAAAGGTATTGCAGTGTACCAATATTATAAATTGTACTCGGGGTTCGGGACTAAAAATCAATACAAAAAAAAAACTCTTAAAAAGCTTAACAAGCCATTTAATAAGTCCCTATTTCAACCCTTAAAAAGTATTGAAAAAAAGAAAAAGCATTTTTATTATTATTATTTCACTATTGAAGTAACCGAAAAAAAGATTTCATTTTTGAGTTCGTTGTAACATGACACATATTTGCATAGCGTCCTAATAGATTTCATCCCAACGACAAAAGTAAATATGTCCCGAAGCCTGCAGACAATAGTCATTATGTCGGTTTTGACATATGGGGTGCCGCGAACAGTAACAGCATTCGGTTGTAGTCTACATGTCTTGTGCTAATGGTATTTGTATTATTTTTTCTTTCTAATGGAAACGTTTACTTGTTAGTTATTGATAATAATGATATTAGTTATAGATTGTGTTGTTATATTTTAAGTTCATTACTTTGACGTGATGGAAGCCTTTTCGAAATTCGTCCTACTGTGATACGATATACTACGCACCAGCCCTATAGCAACGACGCTATTACGGGCAAGCTAGTTAAAAAAAAAAAAAAAAAAAAAAATTCCCTCCGATTTAATTCATATTAATAGCGAAATATTCGAGTTTGATTTGAATTTGAAACGACGTAAATTCGTGCTGTTCTTCGGATTTCATAATGCCATTGTGGTCTGATATTGATTCGCGCATATAAAAGATTAGTCATCGTACGCCACCATTTTTATTTTGCCCTTTAGTATTTTTATAGGTTTTGCAGGTTTGTTTTATTCTCACTTTTTTTCCGTCTTGTTTAACGATAAGTGTTAATTTTAAGAAGTTATTCGATTATAATGTCAATTAAAAATAAAATATATTATATGAAATACGATTTCCGGTATATATTATACTGTATAATAATAATGCAATAATTAGTATTCGTAAAACTCGATAATAATATTCGTACTAGAATTTTCAGAAATGTTGATAAATATTAACACGTATAATAAATAAATGCGTGTCCGATTGTTATAAGTTCGATTGGTTTTTACCCCGACATGGCGTTTGTTCGTAATTGTGTTCTCATTTCCGTATTTGCGTCCTATCCGAATCTAACATACGACGTGAATAATATTATAATGTATAAGTAAATAGGAAACCGCGTGTGAATATTCAAAAGCATTACTGAGCGAATTATAGTTTCAAATATATCGGTTGAATTATTTTCAAAGTAAATTAGCAAATAAGTTTTCCGGTTCTTCGACACGGCTCCCTTCGCCGATTCCCGCGACGCACAGTTTGAACGCCACTGAATCATAAAACGCCTTTATAAAACACGCATAAAAACTACACGAATCGTCGGGCATTTTGTTCGTCTTCTTATAGTAAATTAGGTCGGTATCTGTTTATTATCTATAATGTTAGTCGGATGGCGTTTCGAACGCGATAACAATACCTATACATATATTCGTGTTCAGCGGTGTGTACCGCAGATACATAAAACATTAAATCTAAAAGTTGGCGGCCATACACCAAGAGAGCGATTTCGGTTTATTCACTCATGAGTAACGTCCATTAATGATCTCGGCGTCCAATTCAACTCTGCGATTTGTTCCGAACACCGTGCGGACTTCGATGTGCATATCGATGTCACCGTAGTAAGAGACTTAATAACTGTTGGCTTTATTGTGAGCGCGATGTTCGAAATCTCGCCCAGCTTCGTCCGGTCCTTTCACGTTTCCTTGTTCCGGTATTTACTGGAATTCACTGGCGTTCCTATTTATCGTTCATTCTTCACCGAAAATCGTCTAAAGCTTAGACGCCCGCAAACCAAACGTCTGGCCCGCGATGTCTTTATTCTCGAATTACCAATAACCCACGACTATACTCTCATCCGTACCGCATTAAACAGTCCTTTTCTTCGCTCATGCCGCGTCGCCTTAAACCGGATCCAGACTTCACCTCGGCTATACTAATTCGATATTATACCAAACGCACGCACGCACCTAATTCACTTGAACCAGTTGCTTTCAATGGTCTTCTCACCACACCCACAACCATAATTTGTTTACCGTCCCAACTCAATCTACCTCCTATGGTCACAAAACCCCTTCTTCGCACTTTTTCCGTGTGATTTCTACTTTAACTTCTTCTTTTGGATATCGCTATTACCATGGTCATTCGGTGCAATATTAAGTCAATGTTATTGGAAATGACCGCGGTCGTGCACTCCGTTAATAAATGAATATTTGTTCCGCGTTAAATATTTGAAGTCAATCACAAATCGTTTCCATATGCTTATATCTACTTGTAATGTAATCATATCATTCGTGGCATAAACAAATATTTCACGGGTTAATCCGATACGTCCTCTTGGCATGTGACTGCTAACAACAGACCGAATTGTAAGGATTTTGTTCGCAGGACGACTGATGCATCGCTTGAGTGGGTAGTGGATACGACGTTTTATACGTATCCGTGACCAGCTAGGAAAAAAGTCGAACAAATTGTATTTCAAAAAGTTTTCAGTTTTTATCATCGCTATAATGTCTAAAATACAATATTTGTGTTATACGCATACATTTCATAATTACCACGGTTTTCTAAATCGCACCTGTATGCATGCAGGCACTACAGGATTATTAAACTAGTGATAAATTAACATTTAGATGTTCGAATTACAACAGCGTATTCCTTAAATCAGATATAGCCGCGCATTTTTTGTGCCGTAGATCTATACGCGAAATGTGTCCGAACGCACGTTGAAATAAGACCAACGGCTGTCAAATGTATGGGGGTACCCATCTTGTGTGACTCTATTTTTATGGTATTACGGTGTGTAGACAAATTAGAGACAGCAAACTGTTGCGACTCCGGGTCGCGTGCAACTTTACACAACCAATAACGGCGACATTTTGCGTTCGGTTAAACGAAAATAGATCTAATCAAACGCAGAGTCGATGACGAATCGATAAGTTGTTAAAACGATTTCAGTTCTGTGACGTGTGCTGTTCAAACACACCATATTTCTTATCGATTAATTGCGATTTGGTTAACGCGTACAACACACGAACAATATCGGCCGATAACAAACGAATAACAATTTCGACGCATGGATATCAAAATCAAAATTAAGTACTCGCATGGAACGCGATCTATAATTCGATAAACACTCGCTTTTACCGTACCGATTGATTAGGGAACCGACAGATTGCAAAAACAGCGTTCGTGCTACCCGGCACAAGTATATTTAGGCGCGTTTTAGGAACGGCTTTCGATATTTCATTCGGTATATTTACCCCGTCGGGATTTTTCTTCTTATTTGAATTCACGGTAAACCGTATTGACTATTGCAATACACATTATGATAATGTTTTAATCAGGTTTTAAATCAATATTAATTACACATTTACCTATAATAATAATAATATATGAGTAATGTTTAAAACGGTTAAGGTAATATTATTTGACTAATTATATTATAATTTTACGATTAAGATGCGAGATAACTATACACGGTTATCTCGAGAGGCTGACGCGACAATAATTAGCATTAAGTTAGTATTAAGATGATAATAATAATATATTATTATAATTTGTAAGATTTTGTTTTGTTTTATAATTTGTTGATTTTCTGTTATTCTAAATACTATCTAAATTCTAATTATTAGACCTCGTATTATGTTTGTTTTCAGTTTAAGTCATTATTATTGTGTGTACGTGTGTGTATTATGATGTTATGATTTTTGTTGATTTTGTGTATTATTTAGTTTTGTAATTAGGTAAGACGTAATAATGATAACGTTATCGTGTTTTGTTGTTTTGTTGCTTTTCGGTTATGCGGACCGGTTGACATTTTTCTCGAGATTCCGTCTGACACACTTACAGTATTAAATTTTTAATAACGATTTTCCTACACGAACTCCGACAATAACAATAATAACTACTAATAATATTATAATAACGCGACTATGTGAGACGATACGAATTTAAAGCGCACTCGTTACATTAAACAAAACAAAAACGATAAAAGTATATTATTTTTAATAATAAAAAAAAAAAATATTACAACGTTGAAAAAAAAAAAACGCACTTATATTAAACAGTTAAAATACACGTTCGCACCGCACTGGTTACTCGAAAAGCACACAATATTATTATTATTAGTTATTTACCCGTTATATTTTTCACAGATTGTACACAGTATAATATTATTTATTATGATAAGTTCGTTTGTAAGGAATAAAATCCGTAGCCGTAAGTTAGCTTGTAAGTATAGACACGATAAATGATTATTGTTACGATTAAGCATGCGTTAGGTAAACGGTATTATTTTTTTTCCCGGTCGTGTTGTCGCTCGAAGTAAATTTCAAAAGAAAATTAGAAATTTCCGAAACGCGTTTTCCGCTCGCGCGAGCGCTGAGAAAATAAAAATCAAAACCCGGCTTACGATAACGTCACGAAAACGGTATAAAATGCGAAACCGGCCGAGAGACGAGTAAAATCAAAAATACTACACGCGTACTTACGTAAACCATACTTAACATTTATCCCGCACTCGGTACGCGCAATACATTTTGTAGCTTTTGAAGCTTATTGTATTGAACCGTACATGTGTATAGAATAAAAAGCGAACGTCTTCAAAAACCGCGTGCCGTGCCCGTCGGTTGGCACGTAAAACGTTTTTATTCGATTTATCGCGTACCTATAGGTGGCGCAGAGGCGAACGCGCTATAATTATACGTCTTCTACGCAAACAATGCAATAAGAAAAGCGAAATTTTATCCGTTTTTCGAAAAATACACATAATATTATAATATAATAATAATAATAATAAATATTAAGTATTTATATATTTATAGTCTTTGTAACGGGTAGGCAACAATTTTCGTCAAATTTTTTCGATTTTCGTTTAGATATTGCGTGCAATTTTACGTCGTTTATTATTACAGTAGGTTTATACAATTATCGTAGGTATATTATTATATTACTACATATATTAAATTTCCGTAAAAAAAAAAAAAAAATTAATATGTATTCAATATTTTATTAGAAAAGAGTAACGACGACGACGGCGGCGGCGGCGGCGGCGGTTAGCGTTGGTGGTTTTTTTTTTTTTTTTGTGGAGCACTTTTAAAAGATTCTCGAGTTCCAATCGAACGTTGCAGTAATCATTTCTCGTAAACCGCCATTTAAACGATCGTATGTAAAGATATTAAGCGAATCGATTTTCTGACTGTATTCTCTATGATAAAAAAAAGTTTACAATTTATCGGCTAAAACCGTACTGAAATTAACAATAATTACGCGAAAAACGTGTCCGAAACGTTCATCGCTACACGAGAAGTTATTTTATCGCTTACCTTATGTAAGACACCTGTAATATGTTTTACCATTTTTAACGTTAATATTAGCCGTTTGATGCGTGTGTACCTATAATACTCGTAATTTAATATTTTTTAGTGAATAAACGTAAAGTACATATTTTGATGGTTGAAGAAAAAAAAAACTGTTGTTGCGCTGACTACGTTAATTGTTTAATTTGTATTATATATGTTTGTTTTGGCGGGGCGTCTACGGGGACAGCGATGAATGAGCTACTCGAACGAGCAACAATTTGTTTACTCGGGTTGACGAACGAATTCGCGTGTCAAACATGTTATCCAAATTAATTAATCAACAAACCAAATTGATTTATCGTTAGATTTTCGGATTATCGTTTGAAAACATTATATTCGAAAGAAATAACCGATGATCCCGTTCCGCTGTTTCAGTAGGTATAAAAGAAAAAAAAAACTCCAAGCAGCCGACAAAAATGTTGAAAAGCGGTGGTAATTTTGTTTAGAAAAAAATCAAAAAAATCTTCGATTAAATGAACCAAAATCAAATGCTGAAAATCAGACAAAAGGCGAATAAATAGTATAGAGGGCGAAGGAAAATTATTTATGTCCGTTTTGACCATGAACGATGATAATTTATAAAATTCAATTAATTTTGTAGGTACCATTTTAACGTAATGTGTTTTACTATTTTGAATTAGACGTTAACGAGCGCATTTTCGGTTATTTTTTTTTTCAAATTTATTCTCAATATTTAGGCGTTTTCTTGATACGGACCTTCAAATTTTCACAAACAATTAATATTATTACTTTTGAAAATACCAACCTGATTAGTTCGTGGATCCGATTAGGCGATCCGGTACACTTGAAATATGATAAGCCGGTTTTTAAAGTATTCGAGTCGGTTAGATGTCTGTCTCGGTGACGGTATAAGACGGTTCGAATACTTTTTAGAAAAAATATTCGAATACGTATTCTGAATGTTTTCTTTCTTTTGTTCACTAAAAAAAAAAAAAAATACTTTTATTCTGATAACAACAACAGTTTTAAATGGAATGTATTACCGCAATATTAAATCGTACAGATTTTAAAATGTTCTGAGCACGTTTTTTAAAACCCGTACTCTTATGCGTCGTGTATCGCGTGCTTTTGCCGTATTCAGAATGCGTTAGAAAAACGTAGCTATTCGTAACGCAAGACCGAAAATTGATACGAGAATTGTTCTAGACCGCCCGTTAATCTGTCGCTAATCTTCGGCGCCGCCGCCGCCGATCGTCCCGAACAACAATACCGTTATCGCCGCGGTGATAACACGTAAACGGGTGTGTCGGTAACATGTCGCGGCGGCGAAATACCGTGTAAAAAACCGTACGTTCTCGTCTGCGGGCCGGACCGCCGCGGTTTCCGGCCGATAAAAAACGGCGCGGGATTGCCGGTAACGTCGCGTACGCCGCAGGACGAGTCGGAGTTGCCGACGCGCCCGTTTGCTGCTTGTCGTTTTTCATTATACGCGCGCGCATCGATATAATCCGCAGACATCAATCGCAATGTTCTGTAATGATTTATAACATTCGCTCGCGTCTAACGGCATAATAGCATTCAGGATCCGTCGCCGTTGTATTGCGCGCTGCGGTTCGATTGATTTCGGTTTTGTAACGCGCCAACGGCACATCCGCAAGTTACTATCGCGCTGCTACAAGATCAATAACATTGTAATGTCCCGTTCTTTTCAAACGAAAATTATAACATTACGTAGTCATGTCGGTCACGCGTAACGGTGTAAAATGTATACGTATTTCGTTCAAATAAAAATTATTAAACCATTTACGGGTTTCCAACGTTGTTATTTTGTACCGTTCATTGTTGCTGTTCCCGAACCGCGTGCGGGTCTTCCGGCCGGCCACACGCCCGTAGCCCGTTCCGAACGCGCTGAAGGCCGTACGCGCAAACTGGCTTGCGCGAATTCAATTCGCGCGAGTACTCGATCCATAGTACGAGCAACGGTTGAATGTTTGTGCAATTGCGGGCCTAGACGAAAACAGCCGGTGGATGTGACATCGCCGTACGTATCCTGGTATTCGTATAGACGCGAAATGACGTGTGCGACATTAAAATCACCCATAGTGTTTTCCTATTCACATAACCAATCTCTCGGCCCGTTTTCTTTTCGGTTTTGTTGTCGGTCGTCTTGACACGAGCAACCGTGTGACCCGAAACCAAGAGCAACTCCCCTTCGCTTAACCGAGTCAAGAGCGGCCGCCATTTAAAAAAAGAGTACGCGTTTCGTCAATTATACGTGATTTGAAAACGTGTTGATTAAAATAATAATAATAACGTTGTTATTAAATCCCGTTGTTTACACGGATTTAGTTTATGTTAACTAATTGACAAGAGAAAACAAATGATAGCGAGGCTAAAACTGAACTGAAAGACTAAACAGTTGCTTGAATATTCGTCATTTGCATATGTCCCGTTTGTACGAGCCGGTATGCGCAAGCACAGCGGATCTTGTAAGCACGCCTTCAGTATCGATTTCCGTGCTTTACTTACTGCTATCGCGCCGAAGCCAACTCAATAGCGACTACTGCACCGGGGCCATTTTCCGATTTCCGTAAAATATTAAAACCAAAATAACGCGTTTTAGTATTCGGTGGTGTTAGCACGTTAATATATTGGCGTTAGAGACGGTTTGAAATCGAAACTTATTCTTATATATATGTAAACACATTAAACCGGTTCAAAAACATCAAACCGTTTCGGAAACGTACACACTCGCATTAGGTAGTGTGAGAAATAAAAAAAAAACCGCTTAAAAACGGTTTAGTTTTAAATTTTAAATATTTGTTCTCTTCTTAGTTTTGCCCAAATTTTTCGTCGTTTCGATTCACTGAGAATTATCACGGTTAATTTTAATTCAGTCATTCGTATAGACTCAATTAGTAATACTTAATACAATCTATTAGTTAAATTATGTTAACCGAAAGGTACAGTAAGTTCACAAACACGATTCAAGATTACAATCACAAGTATTATTAACATTATCGGATGAACATATCCGATATCCCTTGAAACAAAATGATCGAGTCGTGTTGGAGGAAACAATCAAATTTGAATCGGTTTACAATGTGTTCACTAAACCGATTTAATATGATGGATATAATATATGCGGGTGTGGCTGATATTAGGCTTGACCGTTTTAATTAATTTTGAAACGGTTTCGTTTCAAAACCGTTTTAACGCCATCGCATTGAGAAAAAAAAACCGCGGGCTCCGTAAAACGGTCGCCCGCCGGTCTACGATAATTTATGTTATCTGGCCGAATCGAATCCGCCGGCTCACGAACAAATCTACGCGTCGGACTCCGGAGTCCGACGCGTAATCGTATATATTTTATGTGTACCGAGTGATCCATTTAAGTGGGTACACTCGTTATCTCGGAAAGTATTAACTTTTTCCGGGACGTTTAAGAAACGAGCTGCTCTACAATTTTACGTTTACGTTATTTGTCGTCACTTTTATTTCCGGGGATAACGCCGCCACTTGCTTATGATTTTTCAAATGACAACCCGCATTAAAAAATTCCGTAAACAGACGGGATATTAGTCAAAATAAATTTTAGCAATGACATTTTTGATTTCCGTCGGTCCGTTGACGAGATGTTCCACTTTTACGTTCGGGTCGGAGGAGAGTAGTGGATTATCATTTGTGTGCCGGCGTGTTAATAATGCGCCGCCACTCTCCTCCGATTTCAAATTTAAAAGTGGATCGTCTCGTAAACGGCTTTACAGAAATCAAAAATTGCAACACTAAAATTTATTTTAAACGATACTCCTTCTGTTTACGGGCCTTTTAATATATTGTCGCCGTTTGAAAATCAAAATTATGTAATAGTTTTCCCCCTAAAAATAAGGGCGACAAAAATTAACATGTATGTAAAACTGTGAAGCTGCTTGTTCCTTGAATGTTTCTTTTTCCGCGTCCCGTCGCATCTGCAACGCAGACAACTATGCCGATTCGCTCGTCTGATGGCCGACCGGACGTTTTCGTTTTGTCGCGTTTAGTTGCGCCCCGTTACACCGTCGTTCGGGGGGAGAGGGGGGGGGCCCGTTGAATCCGGCGTGCAGTGCCCGGCCGAGTGGCCGCCGTCGCCCGTCCGGCCGCCGCCCAGGCGCGTCGACCGGTACGCCAAACCGGAAATAACGAACTCGAGCGGACGGTGCGCCGCAGGCCTACTACCAACATGCGTCGGTAAATTAGACGGTTTCAATTTGGTTTATCGTGAACACGCGACGGACGCAACACCGCGTGTCCACAACCGTTAGAACCGTTTTTGTTTTTCCGTTACGCGCAGGTTTCGCGGTTTCATCCGGGATACGGTACAATTTGTCCATGACCGGATTGAAATTTACCAAAGTAAGTACAGAAAAAAAAAAAAAAACCAATCCGATTCTATTGACTACAACAGTTAGGACAACAAGACCGTTGGATAGGATATAATGCGTTGCAGAAACTACTGGGAAAAATCAAAAAATTACCTTCTTAAGGTACCGCCCCGAGAAAATCGCTTTTTAGAAAACGATCTGCATTATATACATCGGAGTACGCTTTCTGGTACTAAAAGTGTTCAAAAAAAAATTTAATATTTAATATTTGAAGACTGCAAATTGTATACCAACCGTATTTACTTAACACAATATTATTGATCTCACTTAAAAAATAGGAGGGTTAGATCGTCGTATTTCCTAAAATGCATTTCTGATATTGAATTGCAATTAAAACAAAAATATGATTAAAATGTGATTTTAGATAGTAAAATAAATAAATAAAAACGATATTCCATCTAATTGTATTTTTATTTACGTAATTAGTTACTTTAATACGTAAATCTTCAAAGTAATTCATTTGTACAATTTATCTGTATACTTTTTTAAAGTTATAGTGCATATTTAAATTATTATTACCAATATGTCTTACAGTAACATTGAAAAAACTGATATAGTGACGTGCTATATTGAATCAGGAAAAAACCTCTAGGACCGCAGGAACGCAAACAAAAGTACTAAGTACCCAGACATCTGAACTTTTGTAAACAATTTCGAATAAGTAGTAGGTACGTAAATACGTAGGCGTTTTCTCAGATCAAATGACACGCGGTCGTAGACACGTAGAAAGGGTTGTCATTTCGTTAACAAGCATAGGTACCTATTATTCATATTATCGTAAATTCAGAATTTGAACAATAATATCATAGACGAGAATAATAAGTTAATATCGTTAATAATACAAGACCGTAATCTATGATTAATATGATTAAAGGTTAATAAAAAGCACGGCTATTGATAGTACTAAATACTATACACTATCTATAGCCGTGATAAAAAATCAATTATTTTTCGAATGACCGCCAGAATACGACGTTAGGTGGAACTGTACGCAGTCGATATGATAATATTAATACGTTACCGGGCCGCAAATCGAGATACCGAAATCTCATCATTGACGGAAAACTGTTTAACAATTACTGTTATAATAATTTCACTAATTGGTCGTCGGCAACACGATAGGTATGTCCAACAATTAGTTTATGAGATAAAATAAATCGTCGGGATACAAAGTACAGTAATAATCATCAGTTGTTGTTAACTAACTTTGGTCGAACGATCACGTCGAATTCATCACTTATAGCTTCCGGTGTTTACAAACAACATGTAGTTCAAAATTAAATCCAATAAGTAACGAGACTTTAAGAACCTGGCGAATACAATTCGCCAGCGGATTGACGGAAATTAAAAATTTATTTTAACTTATATTCCATATACTTATGGGTTTTTTTTTTAATGTGGGTTTTTGTTTGAAAATCAAAGGTAGGTGGTCGTTTCATCCCTAAAAATTAAGGTGACAAAAAACAATATAAATGTTACATTTTAGAGCAGGTTGTTTCTTCAATTTTCAACAAAAAATAAAATATTTTTAAAAATTAAATACTTTCCGAGATATCGAGTGTACCCACTTAAATGAATCACCCGGTGGTATTCATAATGTGTATGAATCAAAAGTTGTACCAAACGTAAAGAGAACCGGTATATGGCAGAGACGGGTGGCGCGATATTGATTTGGCGGCAAAAACTCTTGGAGAATTACAAAAGCCACAAAAAGAAGCATTGATTATTATTTATTTTTACCTGACGTTTTTTGAAAAATACGAAACTAACGTTATATTATTATGCCTCAAATAGTAATTAAACTATTAATTGATTATTATTATTTTTTTTTTTTTACCTTTTTGAAAATTATGAAACTAAAAATATCAGACGTTTTTGAGTCGAATATGTCCGGTACAGGTTCTTTTTTGAACCGGATCGGATGTCGCCGGATATTATTTACCGGACTAAATGATGGGCCAGCCAAACCATAAAATCGACTAAAAGATCCCTCGAATGTCATAATACTGGCTGTAAAAGCATTGGAATATTTAGAGCCTAAAAGGTTTTGTGTATTTTTGTACATTTTTTACAGTTTTAATACAATAATATTGTGACAGGATAACGCGACAACGGCCGAAACGGATAGGGAATAACGATGGAAACAATTTGATACTAATTTACTTTAAATTTACATTGTACGCCCGTGTGGCAGAAAAATTCACGTAAAGTTCATAATTCATTATTATCTTTTACCTTCACACAGTTTTCATCGTCAGTATGAGTCCCAACAGGCAAACACTCGCTGTGGAGTATAGACATTACGCAGAAACTCTTAAGTACCGAATTGTACACATCAGTTATCTCTGTTGCCAGGTTTAAAGTGGCAATAACACGTGTATCACGAGTACAACAGTAAACCGTTTGTCATTCATACCATAATTCGTAACAGTAAGCGCGTTGATATTGTGAAAAATACGAACACCTTATAATAAGGTATCCGTTATCTGTTCGTTATCGTTTTCATTTGGCACGTACGCGACAGTTTCACCAACGCCTTATTACTGTGCATTGATTACAAGTTTCAAAAATATTTATATTAATTGAACATTGGTCGATTGGCACCCAATTCGATACAACCGGAAAGTTGTTCTTGATCAACGATTAATCGTTGCGTACAGATATTAATAAAATTACGAAACATTTTTTTCTTTTAGCGTATTATAATTTATTATTTTATAGATATCAGCGTTCCAAATAATAATAATTAATATTATAATCGTGAACAAGCCGATTGGCGTTTTAAATTTGATTGCAGTAGCACCATCCCAACTAAAACAATAATATTATATGTCGCTGTCTACTACAATTTATAACTTAAAAATAATTAAAAATAATAACCGAAACGACGGAATATTATAATAGTTACCAAAATAACGTGAACAAATATACGAATACAACACAATTTTAAGATAATTATGTTAAGAATCTCTAAGTAAATGGATATTCAAATTATTCGTTCTAAAACCGGTTTGTATTGAATAGAGGTTAAACAAGCAGTTACC